CTCGGGAACCAATAGAGCTACAGCGCCGCGGAAAAGCGCATTCGATAGCCCTATTAACGCCCTTTCTGAGTAATTTTCTCAGATTTGACCTAACGTCAACGGTTTTGCCTGCAGGGGGCAAAAACTGCAAAAATAGCCGATTTTTTCGGAAACAGTTTTTCTGCAATAACTTTTGACCCAAGCATTGTACGAGCTTACTTTTACCGGCATCGTGTTCCTCTCGTCAAGACGCATCAAACGAACTATAATTTGACCTTGAAAGGTCAACTTGAAAATTTGACCTCAGGTCAAGGTCATGACCTGACCGGAAAGGGTCATGTTGCATATCAGTCGATCCGTATCGTCGAGCTGAACACATCTAAGGCGTTTTCATCGCTCTAGCATGCCTCTATCAAAAGTTATTTGCTAAAAACTGTTAGATACCATTCGTGACCTAAGATGACCTCAGGGCATAAACAGGGGTCACAGACACCATTTTCATGTTCAGTGTGTCTAAACCACTTGTAAGTCAGTGTTTGGAAGTGTTTATAATGTCTTTCGTCCAAAACAGGCGCATTTCAATTTTCTCCCGTTGACTTATAATGGTGAGGTCGCAAAATTGACATGACCTTAGGTCATCGATATCAAAATTCTGAGATATACATTTTGTACATGCTAATGCTCTTAGCAATCGCTGAAAGTTTCAAAGCGATCGGTCACTCGGTGTAGCTATGACAGACATTGAAACTTTTTATGAGGTGAGGTCACTTCGAGTGACCTGGTGACCTGACCTTGAATGACCTTGGTCTGAAATTTTCACAACATGTGTAGAATTGATGTATGATAAGGTGTACCAAAAACGGCGGCGCTCCGCGCCGCCGTTTTTGAGATATTCGCGAAAAACCACAGGGGGGGTGTTCAAACACCCCCCCCCAGCAGGGCGCGGGTTAATTTGTTTTTACTTCACGCTTAAACAAATTAAACTAAATGCCAGTATAGGCGGACCACTCGGCTACTTATGTGATTACCCCGGAGCTATACGCTTCTTTTGAAACTGACCATAGGGGCAGTTGTCATGGACGAGCGACTGATACTCTGTCAGTCCCCTCTCTCCCCGGACCTGGACTCCCTGCCAGCCGGCATCGGTCTTCACTCTCCACCAGTAGCCGTGAGTGAGCGCCTGTTGGTCGGAGTCCGGCGGACGTATGTCGTCATCAGACCAAACCACATTACCGGCCTGGTAATGTGATCACCGCCGGCCTAAGCGCGACGCCACCGTCACGTCCTACCGATTCTGTGCACCGCCTGGCGATGAGCCCCGGCCGTGCCGACTGCGACAGCGACAGATTGAGAGAAATGCTCACACGCAGCCCGCTCTTGGAGCAACGCTTTACAGGAGAGCAACGGTCTTGGGGCGGCACCTTACAGGAGCGTACTTTGACTTGTTTTGTATGCGGGCCGCTTCGCTCCTGGACACATATTTTATAGAGTCGCTGGCTCTTGAGGAATGTTTTATGTGCAGTCAGGAAGCACTAGAAGACTAACCGATTTAGAGCAGCCCACACTTTTGGCTAAATATGGCGCCAATGAACTGTGAACTTAAGAAGGTAGGTATATGAAGGTCGTGTTCACTGAAAAGTCGTGTTATAGTGCATCAATGCATTTCAAATCCAATTCAGTTTTTGATCATTTTTTACATTCATCAATGAGAAGACATGAAAAAACTTTGTAGTTTCCCTCTCGATTATGCCTCTTGACAAATGCCACACGATGCACTTCATACGATGATAAGAAACATATCTTTAGTGTGGAAAACTGGAATGTCAAACTAAAATATCATTCAAACCGTCGTGATCACTGACCAAAGATCTAAACCTCATGTCCTGCAACTTGCAAGTAATATGATCCTGAAATGGCTGTCTATTCGAAAGCAACCACAAGTATAGAATTACGTGAGGCGGCACCTCGTCGTATAAAGCTATACGGTCATCCGTTACGGAGATGCGGGAGAGCCCCCCCCCCCCCCCCCCCCTGAGCAGGCCGCACGGCTTTTTTTCCTGGGCCAATCCTATTCAGGCCGCACGGTTAGTAACTACACCAGCGGGATGCTATTTTTACTAATAACTATGTGCAGTGTGCACTTACCCGGTAAGCGTTTAATGAGTAAACAACTCACTTTTACTTTAACCATATGTTGATGAAACATATGTTGAACCTATTGATGCCTCCTGAGCTTCTTTGCACTGTAAAAAAAATTCACTAGCTAATTTTGAAATTAGGCATTTTTTACGAGTGCCTCCCTTGCACCTCGTTACAACATATATGGACATTAGTAGTCAGAGCCATGCACGTTAACAATGCCCTTTGTGGAACAAATGCCTACCAGCGAGAGCATGTTCAGGAACCTAATTTTGCGCAGTGTTAATGAACTACGCACAGCCTCACAGTGTTACCCGCCGTTGCCTTGTTCTCGGCCAGTTTTTGGCGTGTCCCTCAATTAGGTCATTTTGCTATTAGCTCAGCTGACGAGGCCCCGGCTGGCACCTACTAAACGGATAACCTTGCGTGCAACCCCGCTTGTTGTCACGAACGCCTGCAGCTGGTAAACGTGCTGGTAAGCTTGCGTGGTAAGCGGCTTCGGATGGCTATGAGGATGTGCCTCATAGCTACCCTCGTCGCATGTTACAACCTAGGAGTCTGTGGCTGCTTTCAGAAGGAGTCCCCCCCCCGCATCCGGGAGCCGGCGTCCATTTTGTGTTGCGTCGCCATTACTGTGTGTGTCTGCCCAACTGCTCTTTGGCTTGATTGAAGGTGAGGCATCACTGTAAAAAAATGTCACGAGCCAATTCTATGACAAGGAGTGGGTTACACGGTCGTCCATTGTACCTTGCTGATATATATAGGGACATTATCAGCCTGAGAGTTGTTAATAATAATTGAAATAATTGAATAATTGGTTACAAACGGTAACCTAATAACTTAAATGCTTCCCTAACACCCCTTCCTGCTTATCAACAGATTTCGCGCTGTGTCGGATAACTACGCATAGTCTCATAATTAAATCCGCCAGAAGCTTGTTGCATGCTAGTTACATGCGTGTTACATTATCGTGTCATATTATTATTATGTCGGCTAATGAGGCACCGCCCTGCACGTGCTTTAAATATAATCCTGCGCACACGCCACCTAGTCGGAAACTCATCATCGGACTAGTCCTGGTAGGGTTTTCGTGTTGCCGAATGAGGCGAAACGACTTTGATTCGGTAGTGCCTCATAAATCCCTGCTACGGTGAGCAGTGACGAGTCTGAGACTGCTTCTAAAACGCGTCCTTCACTTCCGGCGCGGGGCCGTCATTTCCGGCCGCCATTGTTCAGTTCTGCGGCTGCCGGCGGTTGGTGCGGTTGTGTTGTGGCACGGTGCGTTGTGAAGTTCTCGGACTGGGATATTTCGAAGGTACGTTATATTGTATGATATTTACGTAGCAATGGGGGACATTTTATTTATTTTGTAATATTCTGAACACATGTTGCGTCATAGGATTCACCCCTTGACCGTTGTGGGCCACTGTTTCGTTTGAATTCCGACTATTGGAAGACGGACTTTCTTTCAGTTGCTGTCTAGCCTTTTTTCCAAATGTGTAAGCTACACATATTGCCTCACATTGATTTATCTTATACAAAAGTCAGTTGATGTAGATAATAAAGCCATCCTCACTGATATTTTAAAATCAGCAGTTAATTTTCTTTTCTGTTTGCAGAGCTGCTTAAAGTTGTGGGAGACTGAGGCATGAAGGTATACCGGAAGTCAGCGATATTTCTGTTGGTAAGCCTCGCCCAGAAAAAAATACTTGCTTGAATCTGCAAAGTATGGCAAATATTTGATGGACTGCACAGTGCACAATGTACCTGACATGGCAGGATCAACTTGCTCACTCGCCTGTTGTAAGTGCCGTTGCGTCAGAGCCCGTGGAAGTGCCCGATCGTGTCTCATGCAACCGTATTATTTTGTGAATGTTATTGGTGGTGACTCGAATATGTCCTGGCCTATACCTTCACCCCGCGACTGCCGCCGGTGCAGAGCTAATGAAAAATCACAAATGTTTGATTGTGGTTATTTAAGGAACCTGATTGCAAATTATTCAGTTAGTTGTTGTTGTTGTTGTTGTTGTTGTTGTTGTTGTTATTGTTAAAGTTATAGTTATTGCCCTGGCGTTGTTATTGTTCTCGTTCTCGTTCTCGTGCCCGAATAAATGTGCTGCAGCGCTACTCAGTCTGTTTACTTGCGGGTGGCGGTCGAGAGTCGGGGGCACTGGTTGACGGAATTCCGTCGACGGAATTCCGTCGACCCAGTGCCTCGACCCCGAAGGCCAGTAGTGGTACTAGTTAACTAGTGCCACTACTGGCCTTGAGCTAGTACCACTACTAGCCTTGGGGGCTAGTACAATTACTGGGTATGGATTAGTAGGCAGTGGCTAGTTACCTTACCAGGCAGGGGCTATTATGACACCTAGTAGACGCACTACCCACGCTATTTACGTGCGTGTTGTCAAACTAGGTGGAGCACGGTGGTCGTATGCATACGAGGCACAGCCTTGTCGAACAAGCTTGTTACTCGGCAACTAGCCTAAAATTAGCCAAATTTACACGCTCCTGCAATGTTATTTTTGCGCTGAGAATTCCTCTACGAGGGGCTTGTAAGTTTTTTTTTACAGTGTGTACCCGGACTTGACTTTGTTTGTCCCGTTCTATTCGTCGAGGTAAAAAGTTATGTCATTGTTCCCATTGTGTCCATTAGCCCATAGAGACCACGGTGAATAGGAGACCCAGGGGATGAAGGCGGTATTACTGAACATCAAGGCGGTAAGTTTTCGGATTTTTTTTGTGGAGCTATCCCGAGGACTACTTAACTTACCATCTGCAGCTTTCTCGGCTGCTTCTAATAAATATCTAATATACCTACTACGATGTATAAGATCTCTATGCAACTACTCACCATCTGCAGCTGTCCGTCGCCTACTCACCAGCTGCGCGAAGCTGGCCTGGTTGCGGCCGAGGTAGCCGGCCAGTCCCAGGTGAAGCGCCGACAGCGTCAGGCCTGCCACGAGCGCCTCTCGTAGCCTCAGCGGCAGCAAGGCGTACACCATGTAGACACAGAACAGCGTGAGCCACACGCCGGCAGTGGCCGAGTCTGCGGGAGCTGTCAGCACCACGGCGGCCACCAGCGCCACGAATGAGACGGCCACGGTGCAGCTGAACACCAGTAGCAGCAGGGTGCGCAGCTGGCGGGCGCGCGCGAGTGTCAGCGCCAGGCCCGCATACAGCAACAGCAGTGCGGCCAGCACGGGCGCCAGAGTGCGCGCCGCGCCGCGCTCCGCGCTCAGAATGTACTCAAGCAGGCCAAGTGAGACCAGCACCAAGATCAGGATGGCCAGCAGCGACGAGAACGACGACTGGTTCATGCGCAGAAAGTAGCGCTGGTAGAGCGACTCCACCTGGACGTCCGCGAACCGGTGCGAGCGGCAGAGGCGCAGACAGGGCGCGCAGAACCGGCGCCGGGGGGCGGAGACGGCGGGCGGGGCCGGCGTGCTCTGTAGCAGGCTCACCTCGCCGGGCCGAGAGCGCACCGAGCCGCTGTGTAGACCCGACTTGCTGTAGTGCTCGATCACCTCCCAGTTTGACTTTCGGCCCGGCTCGGCGGCGCCGCGCTCCGCCGCGCCTGCTGTTGCTGCCGCCCCCGCCCCCGCCCCCGCCGCCGCCCCGGTGGTGGTGGCCGGAGTGGCGCCCGAGGCCGGGTCGACGCCGCTGCCCTTCGAGGAGCGCTGACCCATTTTGTGCTGCAAGGAAGAAAGGAACAGCGTTACCGCTTAGAATTATTGCCGAGTGACATGCAAAAGTGCAGTGCTTTTACATTACCCAGTGTGCAAGCACTGCACTGACTGAACTGTAATTATCCATGAAATTCTTTCATGGCATTGTATTAAAATTTCCTTGACGTAACTCCTTACTTTCCACGTCAACGATACACAAACACAGACAGCTTGTCATACAAACAAAATCGATGATCTCAGAACTCGATGTATCCCAAATCTCCATGCATCCCCACCTGGTGTTCCCTGTCCCCTTGCGCCCCCTAATGTGTCTTGTGTCCTCTGGCTCCCTACATCCTGATTGTGTCCTGGACCCCGTCCCCCCCCGTCCCCCCGGTGTGTCCTGTGTCAGCGCCGCGGGCGGCACTGATGACGTCACCGTCTCCAGGGCGGTATTGTCGCGGTGCCACGGGGGCGGGCGGGCCGACGGACAGGGCTGAGCGCGAGGACGGACAGAGTTGGCCCACTGCCGAACGATCGGGCCGCACTCATTGGCAGCTGCCCTCCTCTGAGACGGTCCCCGACCCCTGCTGAGACAGTCCCCAACTCCCGCGTCCCCAAGGTCCACCGACCGACGAGGGGGCGGGTGGGGGAGGGGGGGGGGGCGGGGGGATGACATGGCGGAACAGCGAGTACGGCAACACCGGTCTAATTTATCCATTCGTCCAGATGCTAACTGAATATCATGAGATCACACATGACTGCAGAAATGTAGGCCTAAATAATCACTTTGTTGTGAAAAATATTTTGTTTATATTTGGTACGTTAAGTCAAAACAATTTAATAAGTCTTTACTTCTTGTTTAGTTCGCCAGTACTGCCCGTGCTATTACATACGCAGTGGATTTTGCCGATCATGACAAGCTTTTCAGTGATCTGTACGTTGCAAATTCGTTTTTACATTGATTTGTTCTCAGAAGCATTGGGTTTATTGAGTATTGATAGATTGCTGGCCCAATGACATTACAGCTGACATGCACAATAACTGACCTATTCCATGTGACATTTAGACATTTACTGATAATGAAGACCAGCCTGTTGCTCAATGCAAACGGAAGAACATTCGTAGATTATCGAACTTGAACATTTTGGATTTATACCGGAACTTGTAAGCATGAACGGTAAATTTGATTATACATAGATACCTACATTGATCTGCGTTGCAAGTGCTGTCCTGGTGTTTGTGTACGTGTGTGTGTGGTTTTATGTCGGGCTATGGGTGGCGAGAGGTATAAAATGCATTTGAGGATGAGTATACACACTAGTCCTTTTTCGTGTAAATGCATTAGTAAAATGCATTGGATGACCCTACCACAGTGCATAAAGAAACAGGATCGAAGGGTCGATGGCAAAATAATCGCAGGAGGCAGACATGCGATGTGAGAATGATGGCTTTACATACGAGACGTCACTTCTAAGCAAACCTATGCAGCGCTTGTTCATTTCCATGATTAATTGTATTGCGTGATAGGCATTTGCTTGCCTGTGTTGTAAAATGTCCATGTTCACTTTGGGTGCATAAATTACTTTAATCGTCAGCGTATTAAGTTGGATTTAAGTGCAGTCAGATTTTAACGCCAGAGAAATAAACTTGAGAGCACTCACCAGACATTTTGCTTCGTATATTGTCTAATCTCATCATTAACCCAAGCCTTTCTTTAGGCGACTGTGAACTTCGCTAATGCCTTATGGCTTGGCGAGAGACCATTATGTCATTAACAGCGTCGACCCGTCGGAGTCTAAGATAACGGCCTCTTAATCCATTGGCGTCAGGCTCAAGCACCGTAAAATGATGCAGCAGCTATTATCAACACTGGGCCGTGACGATTGTGGTGGCCGAACATCACATGTAGACCGCAATGTGATAGTTATCCAGTTCAGCTTTGAGGAGAGAAAGCCTGCCGACATATCTATAGCTATCGTATCCGGTATTAGATCATTATCGAGTCAGAGAATGATTTCATATTACCTCGGCGAGCCAATAAGATCCCGGCCATTACTGAGTTATTGCTCATTTCGAGGATGTTAGGTCATTGCGTGCGAGTTTTGGGCCTCGTTTCATAAAGCAAGTCCGTAACTTACGCCGATTTTTGGGTTTGTACTGCAAGCGCATGTGAAGCGATAAATTTGTTTCCCCTTCTTCCTTCTGTTCTTGCTTGCAAGATAAATAAATTCAACGATTCAAACTATCGTCATTGCTTCACATGCACTTGCAATACAAGACCAAAACCGGCGTAAGTTACGGACTCGCTTTATGAAACGAGGCCTTGGACGTAGGATTAGCAGAACGTTTAATTACACCCGGGGACTAATGGTTCAATGGACGTAGGGGCACTAAATTACACGGACTAGGATTGCCAGCAGTGGTGCAAACTCACTCGGCTTTGTGCCTCGCCACTGCACTGGGGTGACACCATGCAAGCTAAATGCAGACTTGCATAGGCTCCTCGAGACGAGCATCAAGTATTCAGGTGAGCGTTCGCACTTGTGCGGTCCCTTCAAGAAAGAACGCGTGACAGCTTCTCGCGCTAGAAACTGTGTTCTGTGTAGTTGACATTGCAGTTTTGAGCGTTTATAATATCGATCTTGTCACTATTCAGCCCTATCTTTTGGCGTTTGTGAATGTGCCTAGAAATATCCTCTAAAACATTCGAAAAATAATATACAAAACCCCAAAATAGACCTTAGTAGTGAGGAGGAGACAGAGCTATATTTCTCCGGAGTCACAATTTTTTCCTAGCCAAGCTGGGGACGTCGCCAGCCGGAGCCACGTCATTGTCCTGGAGCCAGAAGCGGTGCCACAAAAAAAAGACAAAGTGGCCTTACCGACCAAGGTTTGTAAGGCATTTAAATTTGGCCAAACAATTCATCTCACTCGAAGACAGCCAACAATAACTCATTCTCTTACAGCCCTCGGGTCTTTGTGCCAGCTCCCACTGCACCCCTTTGTTGCAGGCATGCACCTGGTTACCTGAAATCGCCTGCATGTCCCGCATAGCGACCCCTCCCCGTCCCCCTCACCTCCCCCTACCTGTCGGACCTGCCCGCTTGTTTGTCAGACAGGGGGGATCACCCTGGCCCCGGGGAGAGCGGGGAGAGGGGTAGAGGAGAGGGTGCCGCCGGCGTGTTACCGGGTCACTCGGTGAACACATGCGGGAGGCATTAGGGGCCGCCGGCCTATTTGTCAGAGCGGCCCGCCACTCGGCCAGTGGGAGCCCACGGCGGGGCCGGGGGCGGGGGCGGGGGCGGCCGATCAATGACCGTCGTCACCGACAAACGCTGCCGACGCGTCGACACGGAGCTGCCGGCCGGCTGGAGTCCATGGAGGACGCACCTTGGCGGGCGGCCAGCCACCTCCTCTCCGTGGCTCCGACCCGAGAGCAGAGCTCTGGAGTCTGGAGCTAGCTCGGTGACAGCGGCGGCCGGTAGGATGGCAGGCTGGCAGGGAGGGGGAGAAGAGGAGATTTGGGGTGAGAGGAAGGAGAGCAAAAAGAAGAAGAGAGAAGCAGGAAATAGAGAAAGAAAGAATGAAATGGCCATAAACAGGAGGAAGTATATGTGCAGTAGAAAAAGACTGAAAATGTGTTTACAGGAACAAAAGAAAAAGGAGAGGTGCTGAGAACAGAGAAAAGAGTAAAAAGAAGAAAGGAGTGAGGGTGAATGAGAAAAGGTGGGGGTGAACAGCTATATCAGATGAGATGTCTCAGAGGATATGTCATAATGATCATATGGATATGGATATGAATAGGTTAGGAGAGAGGATATGAATTATTACGATCATGTCGGAGCTAGGGGTTCTCAGTTCCTTGATCATTCGGCTTTTTTCGTTCTAGTATCGAGTGCCAAAGTTGCCACCGAGTCTAAATACTTGGACATTGAACAAGATTTCAAACTCAGGTGGATCTTGTGAGGATTCGGTGCTTCATTATCGCACGGATATGCTGATTTGCGTGGGATTGTTTTTATGGTCAGTTTATGAATATTTGGCGTGACATAAGGTACGTGTATATAATCTAGGTTGTTGGGGTGAGTACAAGCATGTCACGATGTTAGCGTGTTAGAAAAAGTGTCTTATGCGTTTTAATATTTCTCGGACAGCCGCGGGTCAAAAACAATTTGTCATCTCGGAATAGCGTCTCTATAATGTAGACGCGTTCCCGAAACCCGATCCCGTTCTCTATCGACTGACTACGGCGGCGCGCCTGAGGCACTCATGCACTTAGACTGCCTCTGAATATACGGAGCTGAGTGACACTCGGAGCTGAGTGACACTCGGCCGAAAACGGACCGTTGCGACACCCCATCTCTCTGAATAATAGAGCGTTTGATGCCAAGTCCGAGCTACGTTTTCCACCCGCCGAGGCACTGTCACGCGCCTAGTATACCGGGACTCGGGACAGGAATTGGTGAGATCGTGAATGATAGGCCGGGGATAGCCTGAGAGGCGGCAGTAGGCCTGCAAAGGAGGACGGTCGAATTGTTCTGACAATGGCAAAATTGATTCATAGCCAGAGTGTCAGCGCCAGTGGTCGCAGTGGGTAAGTGTCTTGTCCCAGAAAGGTCAAGATTTTAATAAAACCGAGATATATGCATCAGTGTTATGATTGCTTAAAGTCATGTTATGATATCACTTCATGATGATTTAAAGTTTGACAGCCTGGGACGGTGGATTTGCTTTGACAGCATAATTAAACAACAATTTAGATACATTGGAATGGTAGCACGCTCATGATATGAAATATTTCTCATGAAGAAGCATTTACCTGGCTGAGTAAAAGCAAAATCATCGTCATTAGTGTGGCATTTCCCGGCTCGCTCTTCAGCCCCATTTCCGGATATAACCGGCCGGGCGGTTCCTTCACTGA